TGCTATTCGTAGGGCTCCCACTTGATGTTGTTCGCACCTATTTCGCGCTTCATCTCTAGCTTTTTTGCGGAGTCTATCTTGAAGTTCATGTAAACTACATGCGATTCTACGCAAGATTATCTTAGAAATGGGTTCAGATGGTGAGAAACTCGGTCCCAATTCTAATAACGAGCGCGCACCGTCAGAGAGAGTAATGCCTCCTAACACGGTTAACCTTGAGTTTTATTGCACATTACTTATCCTACTGTGACCTGTTTGATATTCGCCAGCGATATTTCTGTGCGCTATAGAAGTTGTGTTATGCGATTTACTCAGAAGGTCTTCTAATTTTCTCTGCAAATTATTCTTCGTATTTTTGTTGAGCAAACGCGAAGTGTTATTATTCTTTATTCACGAATAAGCTGACGTTTCGGCGGATTTCGCCTTCCTCAGAGCCTGGAAAGGTCAAGTTGACAGCAATCTACTCGGCCAGACGCCTCCATAACCAAGCAAAGAAACTCTAAACCAAGATTTCAATCACGTTGAACACAGCTTTGTACACTCACCGCTTTCTATGAGGTTTCCACTAAGTATGTCACGTAGTGTTTCAGTCTCGTTGGCGTCAATGCGTGACAATATTATGTCGCGTACGTTCTGCGAGATCGCCACCGAAGCGCTGGGCAGAAGTGCGACTGCAGTCGACACCAACCAAGCGATGTTCAGGTGAGGAGAGAACCACACAGGAGAGGATTCCGTGATCCAGTCAACGTTTAACATTGTTATAGTTTCGACTAAATATTAGCTTCGTTCACACTTCAATCAGCTTTTCCCCGTTCTCGCTTCCTAATCTTATCAAATTCTTATAGCTTTGCGTTCTTAGGGATGTTTCCACTTTCCTACGTAAAAAACTGCACCAAAGGGATAAAGGATGAACCATCCAGCTTTGATCACTTTTCTAAGAATGTGTCATGCATACGAGATGACTAGGCATCGTAGAGGTAATTGAATGCATAAACCTATCAATTCAGTCTCTATCAGCTCATAGGTGCCTGCTGGGAGCACCGCTACAGTAAAAAAAGCGGTTGAGAGAAAGAAAAAAGAGCAGTGGCTAACATGTGAGCCTCCGGAAAGGGCAATCGCGGGTCCGAAGCTTGCCTGGTATTCCTAGTTTTACTCTTATCTCAGCATCCATGTCGTTGTATTTTGCATAGTACCTTGCAATTAGAAAAGAATAGGCAATAAATAAAAGTTGAAACATCGTCGCCTCAGTAATTTCCGTCCTCACAGACAGGTCAATTTACCAATCACGGAGGGATGGACGGCTATGTTAACTCGAGCAACTGGTCGAAACAACGTTTGTTTGTACAGAAGTATACTTCTGGGAACTGCACTACACAAGCCATAAAAACTATTTTTTCAGAGTAATTCAACGATTGATACACGAATTTTATGGTAAAAACCCTTTTCAATAAATTTATTTAGCCTCTCAGAATTGATGGCACCGTGGATTAATGTAGGTGCTTTTACGAAGTGTGAATGGTGGTAAATAAGGAAGCAAATAGAAAAAACTAAAGATGAAGCATATTTAGACGATGCCGGATAGGTTTGTTGGAGCCCGTCTGCGATCAGTTCGTGAAGGAATACGCCAAGCGAATTTTCGCTCTGGCCCGAGTTGGGGTTCCTGCTTCTGCAATTTGCGAGGAACTCCATCTCGAAAGGTAGCCGACAGATCATCCGTGTTGTTTGTCGATTTACTGATTGATTGGTTGAATTATTTTCCGAGTATTGAGTACGAACTTGTTCATTACATTCGCATAAAGAATGGCATCCTTATTGATTTTTTCGAACTAAGTGTTTAGTTCCCAGGATCGACTTTCTCTTAACCTCGGCATTGGAATATGAATGTGTCGTTTGTGTTTAGTCACATTTTAATGAGGACTAAAATGCCTGAAATAGTGATGGATGATAAAGTGTACGAATCTCAATCAATGAATAAAAATGAATGTGATCACCAAACCGTCTAAAATGACAAGTAGGGAATTCGGTCATAAAATTTGAAGCGGTTCTGTTGTCCAGACGAAGGTTTCTCTACTTGTAAAGAATGAAGGATAAAGCGTTGGGCCTTCATCATTTCCTTCATGCGCCATCTAATCAAAGCATTCGTAGCATTATAGGGTAGTTTAGTAGATATTTAACCCTCTAAAGTGACTAGCAGGATGTGTACAGATATATTGAATAAACCGCAACGAAGCTGAGATATTTGCAAAACTTGGACTCTGGGCCAGATCGAACCACGATCTGTCTTTCCGGGATCTCGCGCAATATCCATTACGCCATGGAGGCCGTTGGGACCGTGTGTGATGCGCGAACACCTACGAAGGAAAATCTTGGTTCGATCTGGCGTGGGGTCTCCGTGGTGCAATGTGTAATGCACGAGCCCTCGGAATGGGAAGTCGTGGTTCGATCTGGTCAGGGTCGAAGTTTCGCGAATATCTCAGCACCGCTGTGGTTTATTTCGCATAATGCCCTGCTCTGAAAATTGTAGTAAGCAGCAAATAAAAGAAGCATTATATTAAATAAGCTTTCTTATCATCCCGGACAAGTCTGACTCCAATTTGTTGATCCAGAAGGGATATTGGACGGCGCTGAACTAATGACCATGATGTGTAACGCAGTATCTCTGATCACCATGCTGCCCGCCCATCTCCATTTACAGTGAACTTTATTGACTGATATAAAAACTGCCACTGAAGGCAATTGCATCATCAGTTTTGCTGATAAAAAAATCTTTCAGTAAGCCCTTGTTTAGTTGGTTAAAAAGGTTATAATTGTCGGGAGAGAAGTCGCTAAATATTCCGGATGAGGAGGGCAAGGAGTTTTGGCTCCCATTTCGTTCAAGTTTTTACAATTTCGTCTGCTCGATGAACTGCGATCCAACCTTAACATGAAACACAATTTGTTTTTCGATAGTCCAGTTCGAAGCATTCTTCGTTTATTCAAATTCCGTCAAGTAATCGGTGAATTCCGACGATTTTCTTCCAGTTCGTTTATTATACCGATGGCAACTAATTGGTAACGACAAGCCTTCTTATGAACCCAAGTAAAAAATGTTATTCATCCAGAAAATCACCTATGTCACCAGCCCTCCTTTTCACGATTAAGTAACTCGGGCCGGCGCCAGTAATACCTCAATTTTTCCCTGTGACACGCAGCAGTAGCCCATTGGTTTCCGTTTGATCTTATTGAAAATCATGTTTCAACTATAGAAATATCAATGGAATGTATTCAAACAAAGGACAGTCATTGAGCTCATAAGCCAATTCAAGACCTAAGTGCCAAATAAATGTTGACTATTATGCCTTAAAAAATAAAATGATGCCTTTAAGGGTGCTGCACAGCCGTTGACATCTGAACCAGTAAGTGAGAAACCTCTAGAGCCCAAATGCGAGAAAAAAGCATTAGAGGACAACGTGCGTACCTTTAAATCAATAAACATGATCTGTTCATCATTAACAAAACCATCGGACACATCTCCTTTATGGTCCAAAGATGTTCTGCAAGTTCAAATGGTTTCTGAACATAAATAGGCAAACGGCTGTAGCTTGCGTCATAAGGTGATCAATGGTCACGATAGTGTTTCATTCGACAGCTTCTTCCCCGGTCGGATAAGATCTGTATTTCTTTGCGCTGCGATTCGCTCTGTCTAGTCACTCGCCACCACCGGATCGGGTTTTGCCGCCGTCGGACGAGATTCATTACGCAACTCGAACCACGTCATCCTCGGGGTGCCGTCTTAGGATTTCGACAATTAGCTACCACATTTAAAACGGAAAGTTTTTGTTTTCAAAGTGCCACTAGAAATTCTATCGACTTCCACTGTGACTGAAATCTTCTCGTTTCCCACATTTTTCATTTCCTATCATTTTGAACACTTGTTAACCTCTCTGAATACGAACACCACCTTGTCGCAATCAACTATTTCGACGTCTTGAAAATTTGGAATTTTGAATTTGCCATCCAGAAATCAATCGTGGAAGTCCTGCAAATATCTGCTGCAGTCTGAAAAATAACGGAATTAATTTGTTGGTTGGCTGAGTAGTGCAAAAGCTGAACCCGTTTTCAAACCATTCCGTTACGTTTAGGGAATTTTGTTTTTGTCTTTTCGTTTCCAGCTTAAATCTGATGTGTCCAAACCGGCTACTTTTCGTCTATTTTAAAAGTCTACAGCTTTACAATCTTAACCGTTTTATTTACTGCCTATTCTTTTTAATGGCAAGGTATGTTGCGAAATATAACTCGTATAATGCTGAGATACTTGCAAAACTCCAGACCGCAGGTGTCTGCGGTGGGGAACGAACGCGCTATTGTCCTTTCCGGGGAGTAAAGAGTTCACCACCATACCATGCGGGTTCTTTCACAAATAATAACCTGCCGTGAAAGCTTTTAAAAGGCAGTAAATAAAAACTCGACATTGTGAACTTCAACTATAGTCTCCAGCTTAACTAGGTTCAACGCCGATTTGGGCTTTCCAGATCAATCCCGTTGATGGGTGGTTGCTGATGGCAGTGATCCAGAGTACCAGCTCAGAGACTGGTGAAACGAAGGACCCGCATGGTCTGGTGGTGAACGCGTTACTCCCCGGAAAGGATCATAGCGCGTTCGCTCCCCACCGCAGGCACCTTAGGTCCGGAGTTTTCCAAATATCTGAACATCTTTGTGATTGTTTCTAGGATTTGCATTTTTTGTATTCTTCTTGTTTTTGTAAAGTAAGTTCCTGTTCGCCCTCCATAGTATGGTGGACAGCGGCTAGCAGAAGGTGCAACCAAGGAACCGTTTCCATAGATCTCCGTCACCTCCTTGTCTTTTTTACATTTTCCGATCTGAATTCTTAAAAAAATCTAACGCTTCGCTTCCTAAATGTATTTCTCCATCAGTCGCTGTCATTATGAGGTAGCGCACAGCGAATCAATATTTCAAAAACCGACTTTTCTCTGACTTGGCATGGCTTATCAATATGTATTCTTCTTATTAAGCTAACACGAGATTGGTAATAAGCCTAAATCGGCTGATGTTTCGACGTCCTCGGTTCCTTTCCCTTAAAAATATTGTTTTCTTTTTAGGAGTCTTTCAGATTTGTTTAGAATGCTCGGGCTGTTGGTGTATGGTGTTCTCTATCATATCACTTTCGCACTAATGCCTCCTGTGTCGAAACCACTGGCACCGGAGGACTCTGACTTGCTTAAGACACGACATTCACCTGGTCCCGCGAGGATCGTGAAGGTAAGCGATTATGATTAATGGAATCTGGTTTGGAGTGTAGACGCAGTTTTAGAATTCAACTACTATTTGAATTGAAGACAAGATATAGTAAAAGGATGAAGGATAAAGCTCTCGGCGTTGATCAAACCCTGAGGGATACACCGTTCTTTCGACTTTATTACCCATCGCTGGAGGCGATTCATATCTGGCCTTTAAAATGACTTGTGGTGGCCTACCCATGTATCGAGCCAGTGCTGCTTTCCTCCCAAACGAGTTTGGTACCAATTTGCCGACCTCGGAAGGATGGAGGGCTTAGTGGGTTATGGGTGCGGGGATCGATTCCACGTGTGTGCTGCAGAGCGGCTCCGACCAATGCCCACACCCGCCCCTAAAGAGAACAAGGCATAAAAGGAGCCTATAGAAGTAGGCGCTGGCTGCATTACAGTAGGTGTCTATTGATTTACAAGGACTTGAACGTTTAAAAAGATTTGCTCAAAATCGTTCTAAGAAAAGAAGGTAAAACCAAAAATAAGATTTCATTTTCCTTGTATTGCACAATCTTATCAATGGTTTACCAGCTTAGCATCTCGAAAGCGAAAGCGTCATTATTTACTAAAATGTCAAGGAGTAGGCGTTCATTAGCCAGCAGAGTCATTCATGCTAAAAAGCAGCTCAACATTTTTCAACAGACAGCTACTTTTGTTGACAATAACTTGGAGGTGCTCCAGTACGGATTTGAAAAAATTAGACTTATCTATTCAAAAAAGCACTAAAATGAAAGTTTTGCGGACGCACAATTCGTGTCTTGCTATCCGAGTAGCTATAGTGAAGAAGAAAGTAATAGGACTCTGGTTGGACAATTCTTGCTATGTTCAGGTTCGAACTTATGGCTTGCTGCAGAACGAAGTGGAAGACGTTCCGACAGGTGATATTGGTAAATCAACAGCAGACGATTACATCGATTTCTCAAATAAGCCGCTTAGAAATGGAGGAGGTCAGATAAGGTTTAAAAAAGTCAATTTAATGCACAACACTTATAAAAACGCTCTTCTTACGTGGACGGATCGCTTTTGAAAGATTTCAGCAAATCGTAATCTCAAGCCGGTCACCTACAAACCAATACCGAAGAAATACGAGATTCCGTCTCCGGAACCGGAAACCGACCCCATCGGTACGCTTGATCAGTGATTACTCTTTTGTACTTGAAAGAGTGTAGGGCACAGAAATGCTATACAATCTTAGCTGTTTGTAGAACAGCTTATGAAAAAGACACAATTGTAGAATATTGGAACAAAGCTAAATGGATAAAGCTCTCAGTGTTGATCAATACCTTTCGGGATGCGCCATGCATTCGACTTCATTAAGCAGCATTTGGAGGAGACTGAGTGCATATCTGGCCCTTACAATGACTCGCGGTCACCTACCGATGTATTGGGCCAGTGCTACTATCCACCCAGACCGTTCTGGTACCAATTTGGCGACCCGGGGGATGGAAGGCTTAGTGGGGCATGGGCGCGGAGATCGATTCCACGTGTGGGTTGCAGGGTGCCTTCGACCACTGCGCAACACGCGCCGTTTTTGAGAGTATTGGGAGTGATGATAAATAGATTAAAAACAGAGCTTTTACGAGTAGATTTGGGCCTGAATATGTTAATATTAGTCCTATCACTCCTGCTATTTTAATCTCTGAGTTTGTTTTTCTCATCTCCAAAGAAACTGTTTGGAAGTACCATAGAAACAAGAATTTCTGGAAATTCAAAGCGGAATAAATGGGTTCAATACTTTTCCTCTTTTCAAAACCCTCTTTCCATTTATGCCCAATGCTCCTTTTTCCGTTTTTTTTTTCCAATGAATCAAAGGTTCATAGTTGAAAAGGTATAATTTTTTCTGCATCCATACGATTGCTATGAAATCATAGTGATATATGTTTCACATTCTAATTTTTAGCGGAATTCTCATAAATGGACACCTACAGTCATCCGGAAGCGTTGGAGTTTACTGTTTCGCCTTGTTGATAAGCTTACCCGTGGTTGCTATAAATCTTTACTGCAGCAAGCGTTTTGGAGCTTTCGCTTTCATCAGAGCTACGATGAATCGAGTCGAGAGTCCGCAGTAATTGTTTCTTCCCAGTATTTTTTATCAATAAAGCAAGACGTCGATTATCCATGCTTAGTTTGAGTGAAAGTCGTCGTTGACTTTGTTGTTTCGGCATATATCAACCATTATCAATCCGACTACTGAAAAATAGACTGTTACCATAGAAGAAATAATTTCGGTTCGCAATCACCTAATGTCGCCCAAGAACCGTCGTGTATCGTGAGGAATTGTTGGGTGAGGTGAGGTTCCTTCAATGCGGGTAGTACACAAAACTTTGTATCGTTACTTCTTTCTTGTGGCGCTCCTTGATTCGCATCGATACTACGCCTACGAAGAATAACATCGCAAGAAGAAGCAACTGCTGTGCACATTCGCCGCCAATCGTTGTGGCTCTGATAATGAAAGAACCTCCGTAACTTTAGTCCCAATAGAAATTTGTAGGAACCTCGCGTAAGCTCGTCGGTTAAACAAGAGTTTGATTATCCATTTCACAGTTCAATACAAGTCGACAACGACGCTATTGGAGTTTGCCTTTAAAAAAGAGAGTTCAAATTGTACTAAAAGCTAGTTGGCAAGCGCTAAATTGTGGCCCTTAAGTAATCTACGTTTCTTGCAGAGGTGAGAACTCCACAGCGAGGATCGTTAACTCTTTCACATCCACAACAGTATGTCGTTCAGCAGCCGGTAATTTGTTGCATATAAATTCTTTTTGAATAACGAATAATAAGGTGACATTGGCACATCAATATTCGTTAGTACGATTTTCTTAGCAGACAAACCTAACCCATCATCACTCACACGCAGCGGTAACAATCACAACTGCTAGAAAAAAGCATTAGGCTGCCTATTCGCTCCTACTTCCACACCATCGAGCTTGCTAAGTCGGCACCCACTATATCAGAAACTCTCAAAAGAACACTAATTTAACGCTTCCATAGAACTGATAGACCTGTGCTTTTAATTTTTTTTGTGATATACGATGAAAGCAGAAACGAGGTGCGTGAATAAAACTCTATCGAAGCTCCAATGAATATGATTCGACTTGAGGCGAAGTGGTAGACACCACAGTGAGAAGACAAATGATTGTGGACCATCAATTCGGACCATTGGCTTTGCGAATAAATCTTTTTATCAACCTCGTGTTAACTTGATAATCTAAGAAGGCATTAATCACTAATGCTGAGGTCAGATGACGGTCGGTTTAAAAATGATAACTGAGAGTATTTTCAACACTGGCCGTGTACGATTGAAAGGAAAAGGTACCGAAAAGGTAGAGACTTCGTTATTTTCTACAGACTTGGGGGATCTCTGCTGGAAAGGACGTACAAGGCAACTTCGCCATCAAGATTGCTCGAAGGAGAAAAGTGGTCGAAGTTCACCTCAACGCTTAGGCGCTACAGTAGAATGAAGAGCGAGAAGCACTCTACGGTTGCACTGATGATCGAAACCATTCATGGTTGATTATAATTCTAGAAACCTTTATTCCAATGCTGGAAATGTGAGTCATCCAATGGGAAGCAGCATGGCTAAATACACAGCCCAACAAATCGAGGGTTTTGCATACCCTCTGTACGTGGAGTTTGATCGTTAAGATTCTTTTTTGCAGAAAGTAGAGAAGGTCGCAGAATTCAAAAAGAAAATTTGCAAATCAAGCATAAATGGAACTTCTTTATATTGCCAGTCCACTCTTGAGGAATACTATTGCACGCCTCATCCAGCATCCCCATAATAAAGAATAAGGAAGAAAGCCTTCAGAGTTCAGTAGCTTCTGAGAGATACGTCATGGATCGAACTCCACCAAGTATTGTTGCAGGTGAATGCATGTTTGGTCCTCCATCTCACCAAAGGAAGACCGTAAACTTTTTAGTCCAGAAAGGACTGAACAAAACATCTAATGGAAACTTGTCGTTAGTTCAGCTCTCATCAACATGGCACGTCGACTTTCCAAGAGACAATTGTTAGAATAAAGGTGTCCTGCCCAATACAAAAACCAGCAGAATCAGTCTTTCTTTACTGCCTAGTAACAAGAAGGGCGAGCTACGCGACATTCGCAACTGTCATCCAATTTTCCTGCTGTCTGCCTTTTACAAGCTCTTATTCGAACCGCTCTCAATATTACTGACAGAAAATTGGGAGAAGAATAGTCATGCGAGCAAAAAGGATGTTCTAGAGGCTTCAGAGCGATAGATTATACTTACACAATAATACGGCTCATCGAAATGTTGCAAGGGTTCAATATGCCGCTTCGTCGCTCGTATTTACTTAAAAATGCTACTACGATAGGTGTCGTCATAGGAGCTCCAGATAGCCAGCCTTTCATGGCCATCGCGCAAAAGTCTTGGATCAGATACCATTAATTTCACAAGCAACTTCGTAACCAGATTTCCACATCCATCAACGACTTCGCCATCGAAATAAAGAGCGATTTTTGACAAGGCGGTCTTGCAAAAATTAGTAACAGCCACTTTCGACAATCTCATTGGAAAACTGGAATAAAGTGAAGGTCAACAGCTCGCAGATGCACCACATCTGTTTTCTGTCAACAACCAGTGTTAGCCAATTTTGACGTTACATATGAACAAATTGTTCTTCTGTGAAAACATTAGAAACCAATGTTCTTGTGAAGGGCATTAGTTCACGACCCTCCATTCTCATTCAACGAAGCGAATATTATCGAATATTCCAGCTATATGTGTCTGATTTGGAAAGTCAAGATAATGAATGACTTAGGTGTAAAGTTCAGAAGACAAAAAGGTTTGACTTCAGAAGCTTACAAGATGCCGAAGACGTTGTACGTTGTAAAGAGAACACAGAAACCTAGTTTTGTTCCCATCTTGACTCTGTCATCGTTCCTGCTTTTAGCGCACACATCGAAAATATGAGTGTTACGTAAGCAGGTTGCAAGTAATCCATGAGATCCATTTGAGATCGGAAATCAAAAATTAAAATCTTTAAGTTTTGTCGGCAATTGAAGATCAGGGAATCTTCGGCACAAGCCAAGATCTTCTGATGACATCCATTTATCTCAGCAACCGTGTTCCACAGGTTTATTCAGAGGATTGGCAGCCCGGTATTCAGTGTTAATGGAGAAGATCTGAAAATAAATATATACGAAAAGAAAGAAATATACATGTTAGTGTTCGGGCTTGTCGAACTCGCCGGACAACTCCCGTGCTTTTCAGGCAGTTTTAAAAAACGCTTATTCAGGACTTATTCTTGGTCCTTTATATTCATTATTTTTAGCAACTGCGTAAAGGCTACTACTATCAGCACTACCCATATTACCGCCTTCCGCGGCAGTACATGCTACGGCCCCAATACGGGTACATCTATCCACCGCAGTATCAGAACGTTGCTTACACTTACTATCATCCTCTACGTTACAGAGGTTTGTCAATGGTCGGGTCTTGACGGAATATATTCGCATAGCATAGTTTCAAAGCATGGTGTACTACTGAAAATAACTTGAATGGGAAAGAAAGAAAAAACCGGAACAAAAATACCAGGCATGAAATTGAAATGAAGGCGGCAGGAAATCATTAAGCCTTAAGACAAGAGAAGATAGAAAAGAACTTCCCTAAGTTTTCTTTGCTTCAAGCTTGTGCACATCAGAGTTCGTTTTCGAAAAGATTTAATAGGGGTTTGTTTTATACACAAATATCACCAGAATCACCACTAGACATTGAGTAACTTCCACGCCCACCACATAAGTGTCCATTCAGACGACGAAGTGACACTTTTCTGCAAGGCTTATTGATTTTTCCGCTTTTGGTAAAAGACATACATGGTTATCATGTCAAAGTCTGCCTTAGAATAGGGTGATTTATCATACTCTTCCTCGGAGAAGACTTGGGACTCATTTTTTGGCAGTTATCCTAAACCGTCGCAAGGTGGCAAATCTTTTTCTGATCCATAAGGGCGGCGACTGCCATGGGTGGTGACCACATGAGGAAGGTTTCGACTAGACTGACCTCGGCACTCCAGAGAGCCACAGTGGATAAGCCCACAAACGTAAATTATACCGGGGCTCACATAGCCAGCAAAGACGAGTCATCCAAGCACAGCGGTAAATATCCTAAACTACCGCTCATTTAGTTCAATTTCCATTTACTTCAGATTTTTACCCGAATTATGGTGCCTCACAGCATCTAAAAGAGACAACTACATCCATGTGCGTGTGCATGGGTATCAGTTCAGGTCTCTGGGTGATATCGAAGACAGAGAACCAGCTCCTGATTCCACTTACTTTTCAGGGACATGGTCCATTATGATCCACCATACATCGTCTATGTGCCATCGGAAGCTTGCTAACTAACTTTCTTGAAACTAGCCAAATAACAAAAACGTATAAAAGACTGTCTTCAGATTACTACAATACCTATCGCAGCGACCCGAGATTCAATCCTAATATCGCAGTCGGCTGCGGTGGAGCCTGGCCCTGCCGAAGTGGTAATCTTTTCCCGTGGCACTCAATTTTGAAAGTAGTATAATTTTAAAAAATGAACGAATTAAAAACGTTTCAGGCTGTGTTGGTAGGTATGGATGTAGAGGAGGATGCGACGGTGGCGATGGTAAAAATTAAAATTACCTTGTTCAAAAAAACGGAAGTACCTCAATTAATGTTTAGCATGTGACGGCTATGAGACAGAGAACGAAGATGAATCGTTCGAAGAGGAGAGCACACGTGAAGACGAGGACGAAGAGGAGCCAACTGGTAGGTAGTCAGTTTCTCAAAGGGATAATGCTTAGTTTCTAAATTATTCCAATTTCTTTGTCTTCTTCTTTTATGAGAGAGCAGCCCACTAGACAGGAACAACAAAAAATCAAAAGCATCCACTACTACAGCGACAATCATCTGATGGTCAGATCACCTTAGAGTGTGGAGAACACTGGCGATTCCTATTGGCTGACCTATTATGGTCATTCTATTTCTGGAATCCACAGCATTTGATCTGTTTGCAGGGTGGCAATTTGAGTCCGAATATGACGGCTAATATTTGCATATTTCAAAACCGACTTTCTTCGGTAACTTCGGAATGACTAATCAATACGTATTCTTCCATTGATAAGCTAGCACGATGTTGATAAAAACTTATTCTTATTAAACTAAAAAAAAATGCTGTGGATAAACTTATAAAAAAACCTAATAAACTTAAAACTTATAAAAACTTATTCAGCTAACGCATCGGCGCCATCGCTTTCTTCAAAGCCGGTTTGGTCAGAGTCAATTGTTCATAGTTATTCTTTCTTACGATGTGGAATCGCATTAAGCTTCCCACATTAACAGCTGTGGAGAATCGACTCGAATCAATCTGGCTTTGAAGAAGGCGAAAATGCTGAAACATTGGCCGAATAAAGTTTTTATTACAATGTTTAACGTTTTGTTTTCTGCCTTCTATAATTTTCATGGCAGGTTACTAAGCGAAATACAACCACAACGTTGCTGAGATATTTGCAAAAGTTTTTATTGCTAGCTTATCAATGAAAGAGTGATTGATCCTAGATTGATGCATCCTACGAAATCTACCCAGCAGAAAATTTCTTGTGCTGAACGGCTACAATAGTTTTATACGGCTCAGATACGAAATTTTTGTGAAATTTCTGGGAAACCCTTTACTAGTATCTCCGATTAATGCGGTACACGATTTCAGAAGAGAAACGAATCAACAAAAAAGACCCGCTAGAGGATCTCGACCTAGAAGAATTGGAAAAACTCGAAAAAAGTAAGTGAAAAAATTAACACTTTCATTATAATGATGCCTGTAAAAGTTCTTGAAATCGGTTCTCTGTTAATTTCGAGATCATGGAATAAGTTGGTACTTTTGATAGGACGACATTTTCTCGTTAACTGACATTTCGGTAAATTTCGCTTTCCTGAGTCCGGAGACTATCACGTTAATGTACGGCCCACTCGGGTAAACGCTTTTACCAGCTTAGTGAAAATTTCAAAGCTGAGATTCTTGCGGTGATAAACATCTTTGAAATGAACGTGCTTCACCGAGTAAGATACGCGTTGATATGACCTCTCTAGGCTCTAAAATTACGTCCATAAGCGCTTATTAACCCATCGACAATACGGTAACTCAGAACACTAGAAGCCTGGTTGTAAGTGAGAAGCTCCATTCATTTAATTAGCCACATTACACAAATAAGCGGCTTATCTCAGATTTGAGAGCAGGGATAGCGCAGTGGTTAGTGATGCCATTGTTCGGGATGTAAGGGGGCTACTTCTTTTCCCTTCCTATTCCCTCCAGCAGTCCACATGGGAATGCCTTAGCCAGGTTAACTTCAAGATTGCAAGGAGAATTCAATCAGCATTTTACGACATTCACAAAGAAGACGGAAATCCTCAAATATCAGATGAAACAACACACGAAATGTTCGGAGACTATTGTGGATGTTGGATGCGAGGAAACGAATAGAATGCAATACGTGATGGGACCCCACAGTAGATGTGACGACAGGTCATGTAAAAATTTTAAAAAATGTCACACTTGGGTTATAAAACCATTTATAGCAATAATGGTACAACAGTAACGATAAGCTTGTACCAGAACGATTCAAACGGTTAAAAGGATCAGTGACTGAGGCTAAGACAATACGTAAGTGGATGCCTCGAAGTGAAGCAGTAACTTTACCATAGACTGGTGGAGCAAAGTGGTGTGCATGTGTAACGTATAATACATCAGCAACAGTACCTGAGGGCAACATACTAGATATGGAACACAGCAATAGTGGTCCAAAAGGTCAGCACATCGGAGGTCTCATGTGAACCTCTAATAACCCTGGCTTATAACGGCGATACGGGTTAACATACTAGAGAGAGCAAATAAGCTTGTGATGACATTGCAGTGAGCATAATTTGTTAAACAACACGTATAAACTTGTGATAACATTTCTATGAGGTCAACGTATTAAGGCGTATATGTAAGCTTGAGATTACATTCACTTATGACTGTACTCCCAACGGTTAACGCATCATCGTAGCCGAAAGTGTTCCTGAATGTCGGGCAGCGATGTACAGTGAGGGATTCATACCCCGGCAGGGTCTGCCAAGCTGATAAGAAGTTCGGCGTTTCCACCAGCAGAAAGCCCAGTTAAGAGTAAACCAGAGCATGCCAGGACCCACCACCGTCCTGCTATCAAACTAGTCGCACGGTGGAAATCTCCCTCTGATCCACAACATGGCGGAGATTGTCTGTAGTGGTGACGATCTGGGGCAGAGTTTGGCCGGGTTAATCTCGGGTATCCAGGAAAACACCATAGCAAACAGCAAAATTCCGAGGAATAGAGATTTGTGCTGAGGTCCGCACAACCGGTGAGGACGGGCGGTCTAAGTTTCCAAGTGTAATAACCGTACAATGGGGTTAATGTTTAAAAAGGTATATGGCAGTATGATGAAGTTAACGTACAATAGCGACTACGTGCTGGTAGAAGCTTAAGATAAACGCGGTCCACAAAACTGGTGACCAAACGAAAAGGATGGTGACTCACAAGGCCTTTTAAAGGCGCACTTTGGAGAAGGCAGCGTTTTAGCGCAGCATCTGAGTTTCCAAGAAACCATTCATCGACTATTGCTTTTTGTCACTCATGAACACATTCGACAAGGAAAGACGGCTCTTACAAATAACAATTTGCCATTCGAATTGCAGAATGAACGAAGTCTTTGGACAAAACAACTCGCGAAGGTCCACTCACACAGAGGCGTTATGGAGACAAAGACTGCTTATTACAATCGAAATTATAGGAACGTCTGCATACAGTAATGCTGTTATGCGATATAAAGAAATTAATGTAGTAAACAGTTGACGTATTTACTATAGGAACATACGGTAACATAAAAGATTAGTAACCATTCTGGGAATAATTCCCATGACCGACTTTCTGTTAACCTCGGCATTAATTGATAATTCAATGTTTTTCATCAATAAGCAGACACGAGGTTGTTAATATAGAATTTATTAGAACACAATTGCTGACGTTTCGGCGGTTTCGCCTTCTTCAGAGCCCACTATTCTCTTCCAAAGGGATTCCTCCAAATACTGGACACATTCTGGGAATAGTTGCTATAATAAAGGATAAACCTCTGGGCGTTGATCAACCCCTGAAGGATGTGCCATGCATTCGACTTCATTAAGCACCGTTTGGACGTGACTGAATGCATATCTGGCCTTTACAATGAGTCGCGGTGAGCTACCGATGTATCGAGCCAGTGCCGCTATCCTCCCAGACAAGTCTGGTACCAATTCGCCGACCCCGGAGGGATGGAAGGCTTCGCGGGTCATGGACGCGGGGATCGATTCCATGTGTGCTGCAGGGCTCCTCAGACCACTGCGCCCACGCACCCTCATAGTTGCTATACCTTCATGTAAACCAAGGAAAGCAAGGGATACGACAGTACAGCTGAGCGACCTCAACAAATGTACCAATGTTCAATAGTAACGCAAAATGTAGGAAATATTGTACATCCAACCAAAACAGAATACTGAGTTGATGAGATCTTAATAACTGATTTGTAATTAGTTGATCTCCTTTGTAATTAGTACACTTATGTCACATCCATTCCATCTGAAATGTCTTCTGGCCGTTATAAAGAAAGAACCCCAACATCCTAACATTTCCGTTTTCCGTTTTTTCCTTGAATTTCTCCGCGCTCTTGCCTATCTTGTGCATTTTCTTATTTTTCCTACCTCTTGTGCCATATTTTATATCTCCTTCTCTCTCTGCTCATGAAAACATCTTTGACATAAGAGAAGTTTTTTTCTTATTTAAATCTATGGCTAATTTTACTCATCCATCACCGTTTACAGCTAATGGGGTCATTTCCGAATGATTTCCCTTTTCATCATTCTGTTACTCCTTCATGGATCATCTTGACACAAATCCCCTTGTAACCCATTAACTGCTATATATGTCTCCAAAACGTAAAATCATTGCTTTTTGGTCCTTGCATCCAATTTCCAGCTTTAGTATTTCATCTTTTACAGCTTCCGATAAAGACACTAAAGACTCAGGAAGAACGAGGAGGATACTCGCACAGTAGCACACAGCCCAACTGACCGATCGAATGTGGCGTACGGTGTTGAAGTGTACATAAATACAATTTTTATTATTGTGTCCTCATAAAATTATACAAAGACACAATGCGATTTAAGCGAAGCACATAGACCTTTGAAATATTCGAAGATCTGAACAAATAGAAGCTAATACACGTGTATTACATTCGATTATATTCGGAATATAATATTCGATTAGTATTCGACTGATATTCGACAATATCCGATCGAATTGTTTTTAAAGTAATCTCATTGACGTGTTCAGCCATGTTCGAGGTACAAGCCTTATGAAAGCGAAATTCTCATTTTTCCTATATCTTGAGATATCCCGTCATCCACGGATTTTCATACACATAAGCATTTTGTGGAAACTGGCTACGGCGTCACTCTGCACACTTCCCATGGAGTATTGACGCGAGCATTCTTAGAATTCGCTGAGTTTCGATCAAGTATTATACTTTGCATTGAATATAAAAGGATAAAAGGATAAAGCTCTCGGCCTCGAGCAATCCCTTGAGGGATGCGTCATGCATTCGACTTCACTAAGTATCGTTGGAGGTGATTGAATGCATATCTGGCCTTTACAATGACTCGCAGTGGCCTGCCGATGTATCGCACAAGTGATGCTAACCTCCTAGACAAGTCTGGTACCAATTTGCCGACCCCAGAGGGATGGAAGGCTTGGTGGGCCATGGGCGCGGAATCGATTCCATGTGTGTGTGTTGCACGGCGCCTCCGAGCACTGCACCACACGCGCCCTTTGTACTGGATTGACGATGAGAATTCGATGAACTACTCGACAACGTTTGCTACGAAGCTA